CAAGAAACCCACATGGCGCAGCAGACCTCTCCTGTCTCGCCTGCTGCTCCCCTCAGCAGTGTATTTTGTTGGTCTGCCTGTTCTGTTCTCCGCTCTGTCTCCTGTGAATCCTCTCACCCTCCTACGCATCTGGCCTATACCCTGGTTCTTTTATGCATGAACAAATAAATCTTTTAAAAAATAAAAATAAATAAAACAGTGACTCAAACTGGGGGTAATTTGCCTTTATGGTAATGTCTAGAAATATTTTTGATTGTCTCAACTGTCAACTGTCTTTACTGTACCATGTCATTAAACATCTTATAATGCACAACAGATCCCACAAAGAAAGAGTTATCCAATCCAACAAAATAGATAAGGTACCATTTTAAGGGTCCCACATTGTAGGGGCCATTAGGAATTGATAGAAATGGTTGGAAATTCCTTTTCTGTAGATAAATTTTATAAATTGCTATGAGGGTGTGAACATTAAATTAAAAATTTACATGGCATAGGGAAATTCAGAAGATAAAAGTTTATGTATCTTGATTAATTTAGGGGAACAAATTTCCATTTGTATTTAGAGGTGACTAATTTAAAAGCTGAAGTTCTCTTAATCAGCAAGCTTTTGTAATGAAATGCAGCAGGATTTACTTTTACATCAAAGGAGATCCCCTGATAGTTAAAGAATGCAACCGAATACAATTAAAAGATCACTGGCAAGCAGAATACAATGCCTTGGCTGCATTCTGGGAGAGTAGTACAGGTTAATAATCTAGGATCTAGTGACACTTTAATGAGAACTTTAAATTTATGGGACCTCAGTCTCAGAATTTATCAACACTCTTCACCTAGATTTTTGTTTCAAAATAATGAAGTAGATTTTTGTGATCAGTCCTTTATCGTTAGTGTTGTGTGCAAAAATTTTCTCCCAGTTGGTGGGATTTCTCTTTATTTTGGTTATTGTCTCTTTTACTGTGTAGAAGCTCTTTAATTTGGTGTAGTCCCAGCTGTTTATCTTTGCCTTCACTATCACTACTTTGGGTGATGTGTCTGTAAAGATGTCTTTGAGGTGCATGTCATGTAGTGTTTCGTCTATATTTTCTTCTATGTATTTTATGGTTTCAGGTCTTATGTCTAGTTCTTTAATCCATTTTGAGTTGGTTTTTGTGCATGGTGTGAGGTAGTGGTCAAGCTTCACTATTTTGCATGCAGCGACCCAGTTTTCCCAGCACCATTTATTGAACAAACTTTCTTTGCTCCAGTGCATATTCTTTGTTCCTTTGTCAAATATTAGTTGACCATAAATCTGAAGAGACTCAACAAAAACAAAGAAAAAATCCATTCAAAAAATGGGCAAAAGAGCTAAAAGAAATTTCTCTGAAGAAGAAATGCAAATGGCCAACAGGCATATGAAAAAATATTCATCACTTGTAATCAGAGAAATGCAAATCAAAACTACAATGAGATACCATCTCACACCAGTGAGAATGGCACATTTAAAAAAAAAAACTGGCAACAACAAATGTTGGCAAGGTTGTGGAGAAAAAGGAACTCTCCTGCACTGCTGGTGGGAGTGCAAACTGGTCTAACCACTATGGAGAGCTGTGTGGAGATTTCTTGACCTACTAAATATAGGGCTTCCATATGATCCAGCAATTCCACTCCTGGGTATTTACCCAAATGACACAGAAACATTAATTCCAAAGGGCACCCGCACCCCTATGTTTATAGCAGCACTATTTACAATAGCTGATCTTTGGAAACAACTCAAATGCCCAAAAATAGATGACTGGATCAAGAAGATATGGTACATATACACCATGAATATTACTCAGCAATCAAAAAATATAAACACATGCAGTTTGCAGCAACATGGATGGAGCTAGAAGGGATCATGCTCAGCGAAATAAGCCAGAAAGAAAAAGAAAAATATCAGATGGTCTCACTCATAGCAGGAATTTAGAAAACCTAAATAAGAGACCAGGAAAAAGACTAATCAAAACAAAGTAAAAATCAAAATCAACAAGCAACTATAAACCAGAGACATACTGCAGGGGGTGGGGAGGTGGGGAAAGGAAGGTCTAGAGTCAAAATAAGGGGGGGGAGGTGCAATTGTATGGGGAATATAACCAAAATGAAAATGCATACATTATGCAAAGATGAAAAAAGATGTAAGAATTATATAAAATAAAATATTTAAATAAATAAATAAATAAAATAATGAAGTGATGAGTAAGAATCAAAAGAAAGTCTGTGATAAGAAAAATGTTCTTTTTAAAATAATTCAGGTAACAAATATATAGAACTAAAAAGAGATAAACTATTGATAAATCTATTGCATTTAGCCATAGGTGATAAGAGCTTTATGTGGAGGAAGGGGAGGAGCTATTTGGCAGTGCCCAGTGTGTTACTGGGTAGGTTTAGGGGTATGGGGTACCCCTCACCCTGCCTACTCTAAGTGGGTTCTGCCATCCAAAAAATCAAGACAAAACATACTCTAGGGCAAAAGACCTTTAATGGAAAGGAACTTTTATAGAATTAATGTGCAATAAAAAAGGGAAACAAAGAAAGATAAAATAGTTTTCACACAAAACACCAAGTTAACCCTCCCCTGATGGGTAAGTGCCCAGCCAAACAGGTTTGGTCCAAAGCAGGACCACTGAGGCCTGAGAGCTTGCCACAAGTCTAAGGCATCTCCTGGTGGGGACCCATAGGAAAGGGACAGAAGAGGACAGACAAGTCTGGAAAGAAAAGAGCAAAATCAAAATCAAGATAAAAGTTGCCATTGTTAACCTCCCCACAGGCCTCTGACCCACATCTATTTCAAGTGTCTTCTTCCATGCCCCCCAAGTCCCTGGTACAAGGTCAAGGTCAAGAAATAAGCACAGGGCCTCCCTAGTGGCGCAGGCAGTTGAGCGCAGTGCTGTGAAGATGTCTGCAGCCTCTGCAGTGCCTTTTCGATTCCTGCTGGCCTCTGAGCAACCCACATGGTGAGCAGACCTCTCCTGTCTTGCCCACGTCTCCCCTCAGCATGTATTTCAGTCAGTCTGCCTGTTTTGTTCCCCACACTCTGTCTCTGGTGAATCCTCTCACCCTCCTGAACATCTAGCCTGTACCCTGGCTCTTGTATAAATAAAATAAATCTTAAAAAAAAAAAAAAAAAGAAAGAAGCACAGCTTCTTCACATGTCTCTCTGCTCCATGTGCCTCCTCCAGTTCTCCTTTGTCTCCTTTTTTCTTCCTTCTTTCTCCTCAGCCAGGTCTTCTCTCAGTTCCAGTCTCTAATCAGCAACCCCCTTTCCTGAGTGCGGCAAGAAACCTGGAACCTCCCCTTTTCCTGGGGACCACCCTGTTACATGTGGACTTACCAAATCTTTAATGGCTGAACCTAGCCAACATCAGATTGGTACAGTACGGTAGTGCCTACTGTGAAAATAATCCCCATAAACACAATTGTCCCGATGGTGTTATCATATAAAGATTTTACTGCCAATAAAAATACATAATTTAAAGAGAATAATGCCAATTTGATTATTTTTTAAAAGTGTTATGAAGAAAGAATATCAACTCTGTTGATATGGCCTTAGTGTTGTTCTTATTTAGCTCTCTATATGGGTCCTGGTTCGGATACTGCATTTTGTTATATACACATTGGACTGGGGGAACATATTCCCTTTCATCCAGGATCTGAAGCAAAAGCTCTTGCAGAATGTTTGCATAAATCTTTTTTCCTGTCCATTCCTCTCCTGAGTGTGGTCACTGCTGCTGTACCAGATTAACTACTATTTTGTGGCATGCCAATGCTCCGTGGGAGGCAACTGTTGTAGAATCTGCCAGAAAGTGCTTTCCCTCTAAAACCCGATTTAGAGATTTTTCTCAAGTGCCTTTTTTCTAGACCTCCTTTGTCTCCAAATAGTTGCATGCTCATTAAATACCTATTAGGGTACTCTCTGATTTAAAATGTTCCGTTCACATCTTCTAGAAATATAACTGTCAGCTAACAAAAAAACAACTTCATTAGGTTTATCACAGCTGCTCCCTTTGCCTTGTACCTTAGCTTCCTGGTTGAAGACTGAAGCTTTCCAGAATGTTCCATTTCCCACACCAAATATTGTGTAGGGTCGGTACTCTGCCAGATGAATGCCTATCAGAAATGTTGTGAATAATCTTCATCACTTTCCTGAGGACATATCTTTAAGGGTTTTCCCAAACTGAATTATATTTAGGAAAAAAAACATTTCCCTCTTAACAGGAGATTGTATTTACTCTCTTCCTTCCACTGGTGCTCATTAATTTAATGAAATAAATATGCTGAATACAAAAATCATACAATCGAGGTGCTAGATAGCAAGGGACTTTGCCATGCTCTTTTACATATACCAATTTCAATGAAAAGATTTCCTTGGCAACAGAATTTGCTTCAGAAAGGATGCCGTGATGCATATAATCCCAATACAATGCACTGTGACACACTAGCTTACAGGTGTCACCCCCTTGCTTCTATATAGTGTCATTCTAATTATGCTTGCTGCGCCTGGGTTTCTGTTATAGGTCTAGAGATTTTCTGACTTACAAAGTAGCCATGCAACATACCACAAAACCTCAGAATATTTTTCCCTCAAAATATTTTTCTTATATTGAGAGTCCAATTTCAGAATCTTTGGCTAATGAAAAGTGAACTAGAAGTTGATTGACATAAATGCAAATGTTAAACCATTAATGAACAGCCATAATTTTTTCCTGTATCTAAAATAACATTTTAAATTGCCTGACAATTAACAAATCTTACACATAAATGCAGGTCAAAGTAAAAAGAGTAGTCTATTTTCTTTTTAAAGCAGATAGACAATAGAAATCACTCGATCAGGAATCAACACTGGAGTATAGATCCAGTCCAGTGAATATTTTGGGATCACTGGATCTAGGTGTACACTACCTGTCTTTGAAAAGCCACTCCCCCAGTGAGGTCCAGTGCTATTGCCTTTGCCTCATGTCTAAAGCATCTTTGTTTTGTTTCAGCTGGCAGGGTTCATCTACGCCTGTTATGTTGTGAAATGTATAACTGAAGAAGAGGACAGCTGTAAGTATTAAAGCTCTATTCACTTTCTTTCAAGTTCAAAGCCTCTTCCTTTCTGCCTCCTGCTTAGCTTTCCTCCTTCTCAGACAATGTCCCCAACACATCATTAGAACAGGGAATAAACCTTTTGTACCATCAGGCTAAAGAATTTTTCATGAAAGTTTCCTATATTGAAGAAATGGAGAAGCGTTCATTATGAAAACCTTTTTTCCCCTTTACTGAAAGGTATTTTTAAAGTCTATTTCTCTTTTAACAGTTTTAGCAGAGAAAATAGAGGAGAGATTGAAGATGCAAATGATTGTAAAATGTGGTTAACTTGACTGTTTTCTCTTATTAAACATTTATTGGGTATTGTAACTTATCAGTTTTAGCCAGAACTACAAATCACAGCAATTTGCAATAGACAAAGGGATTAATTCAAGAAATTTGGGAAATCAAATGTTGATATTTCCTTTCTGTTCCTACAATTTGATACAAATAGCTATAACTCTATGTCAGAGTCTCAGTATTGAATCTTAATGCATGATTGAGTAGCTAGAAGGTGACTCTTACAGAACTGTAAGTGACTCCATCATCTTCTGCTCTTCTAAAAATGATAGATAGAAGATTTTACTTTTTCCTTGCCACATAAGAATCTTAATAGGAGGATTGAATAAGTACCTCTATTTTCCTGTGTTCTGTCAGGGATACTTGCCCATGCAGCTATATTTATATTTATTGTGACAAGAACTCAGAATTAGATATCATTTCTCATGGTTTCCAAAAATATGGTGACTGGGATTTTGAAAAAGGAGGTGGGTAGTTGAAAAGGCAAGTATCCATTTATCTGTTATAGGATGTTTGAAGTAGGTATCCAAAGAGGATATGCTTCTTTTCCACTTTCTAATCATGCTAAAAAAGACAAGGCACTGTCAGGTAACTAATTTGGAGGACACACTTTTTCAATCATACTAATACATGATGTAAAATCAGAAATACACAGTACATGGATTATGTTACTTATTAAGTGTGTAAAAGCAAATAGTGGCCCTCTCACTAAATAAGCATTTATAAAACACTCCTCAAAGCATCATGTGCCCTGTCAGGTGTGGAGATTTTTCACATGTGTAATACATAATCTTTTACTTCTAGGAGCTTGTCATCTCATAGGGAAAAGCTAACATGTTAACAAATAAGTATAATAAAACTCTGCAGAATGTATAATGGGAGGAGATAAGCTCAAGAAAAGCTTCATAGAGAAGGACACTTTTGAGCTTGCTCTTGAAAGATGACTAGGTATTTGTTGGGTAGCTGATGTGGAAGTAGGCAATCCCAGGCAAAAGGTGAAAAAGCACCAAAGCATATCACAGCCTGCCTTGCTGGGAACAAGCCACCAGATTTATGTGGCCTAATTTTGTTGTGCTAGAAGCAGCACTCAGAGAAGATTGAAGAAGAGCATGAATGAAAAAGTAGCAAAATGGTTATGACAGAGTACGGAGTTCGGACTTTATTTTGGAAAACATGATGGCAAATGAATTGTCAGGTAATTAATAAAAGAGGAATGACAATCAAAAACGATATTAGTGTAGGGGAGGGAAAGCTTAGAGAGAGGAAGACTAGTGAGAACATCATGAAAATGACTGAGATAAGATAGAAGGGTCTGGACTTAGAACAGTAGTGGAGATGGGGAGCATGGATATATATGTGTATATATTATACATACATACATACCTGTGAAACCTGTTAAAATAGACTGATTAATGGGCTATGGATGAGTACTATGTAAGGACAAGGAAGATAATAGTAGATTCCTAGATTTCTGGAATGAGTAAATGGATAGAAGGAAATGGGATTTGAAGGAATGTGGATTTAACAATTGTTTCAGTCTGGAAAGTTGAATTTGAGGTGCCTAATGAATATACGAGTGTTTGTCTTATGCACAATAGATTTATCCAAAGATTAGGAAATGTAAGCAATATATGGATTTTAAAATGCATGAACTACAGAGATTATGTAAGTTCATTCACATATTACCATTCAGTGTATTTTGCTAAATTCCGATGAAAGCAAAGTCTCCAGACTTAATTTCATATGGGAGTTGAACTTTGCCTAGACTATAATGTTTGAGTTCATTTCACAGTGATGCCAGTGTATTTTGATCTTCAGAAAATACTGACACATCAAGCCTCTCAGACATATAGTCGGTATCTCTCTAGAAGAGTATCTACCAAAGGGGATGCCAGAAATGCAAGTTCTATGAGATATACAGCTCAAAAAAGATGGCAAAGCCAAGTATGCTTGATCCCCAAAATTCAGAATGTGCATTTACATATTAACACCTCTGAGCGTATTGCATAAAGATGTTCCCTTTATTCTAATCCACAATTCTGTTTTAACTATATTATGTTGAGTGAAGGATGGTAAGGGTAGCAGTAGATCAAATAGAGAAGCTGTAAAGGCTTTACTATCCTTATAATTCCCTGGAAAAACACAGACCCCTAAGGAAGAGCACCAAGGGTGGGTCAAGAGCCAGAGAGAGAGAGCAGAACTGTGGGTAAACACCATTATTGTGACTTCCATAGGAAGCAACTGTCAAGGCAAGACAAACAGGCTTAGGATTGGCTAGTTCAGCTTGCAAGTAGCATCCTGTGAAATTCAAGATCACTAGGACAGTCAGAAGGCAGGCTTTGGGGTCATCTAAGTCCTCAGAGGTTTTGGGTGAGACAGGGTTTCCTTGGAACATCGTGATCATTTTGTGAAAATGACAGAAATTTAAACACGGCTAATATACGTTTCCCAAATATTTCAACACAAACTTTTTCCAAGAGAAGTCTTATTGTTCCAAAGAGTGAGAATCCCAGGGATTTATTTTAAGAAAATATACGTAGATCAAGTTTTGGACAAAACCATGTAAAGGGGATTTGAAGGAGCTTTGAAGTCACGAATATCTTTTGGATATTTCAAACATCTAATAAATTTTTCCAAAGACTCATAAAATAATGCATTTGTCTTTACATATATTTGGACCTCAGCCCCTATCTTTCTTTAATCAAAATTAATAAGCAAAGTGCCCAAAGACAAGTTTTCTAATTTTAGTATTTTTGCTCATGGGCAAGATAGGAACTACTTTTGGATACTTACCTTAGTCACTCATTGGATGACTAACAGCTGGCCTGTTCTCCATCCAGTGGCCTTGGGTGACTTCCACGTAGGTTCATTTACTTATTCATCACACACAGCAGACAATTATGAGTGAATTACCTTTGTCCTGGTGACTTTTCTGTACATTCACATACAGACCCTGCCTGGAACATATTACTTCCAATGCTCAAGAGTCAAAAAGGTTTGAAATTTCTCTCCAATTTTTGGTAATTATAATATAATGAAAATTATTTTGATCATTTAAAAGTATTCTGACTTAGTGAAAGCAAAAAAAGTAAAAGTGCTCTAAGGAAGTAAGCCCAGAAGCATGGGAGAAGTTCAACGTGTTTGTCAACACACAAGGAATCTCTGTGTCTGCTTTTACCTGCTTTGGATTCACATGAAGCATCCTGATTGGGATAGGAGATGATGCTGGCAAACTGCCTAGCATATTAGTTAAGTTTCCACTCCTAAGAGCCTGGTGAAAAACACGGGAGAGATTGGTTCTGTTTGGTGCTGAGGATGGACTGTGGAAGTAAGACCCTAGTTATGACAACTGGAACAATAAAGTTTACCTGAGCACAATGTGAATCTGACCAGCTATGTACTCAGTTTTGATACTTCAGGTCTGAGCAGCAAGTGTATCCAGGGATCTCAGAGGCAGAAGCTTCCAGAGAGCTATGGAAAGGATTCAAGGTCCATGAGCAGAGATGCCACAAAATAGCAATAAATCATAATTGAACTATGGGAGTTGACTGCAGGAACATCAAATGTCTGAAAAGGTTTTTTTTTTCTGTATTTCACCTTATAAACAGTATCTCGTTTACTTTTCTAAAGCTGAGTTTGATTACTACTTCTACAAACCTTTAATGCAAAGTTGTGGTTTTTTCCCCAGTGAAAAAGCCCAGACCTTGAAGTATACATTTCTGACCCTTTAGTTACCTAAGCTGGAGCCATAGTCCAACAGGGTGGCTGACTGTGCTGACTCACAGGGCTCCACTGCCATCTGCTGTGCCTACCAGGAGAAAACACCAATGCTCTGAACAGAGATGCCAAATGAAAAGTTGGGGCACCCCTGCCCCCATGTAGGATTCAGTGAGTTGCCTAGGGCTGCAATAAAAAATTAAAAATTAAAAAAAAAAAACAGGCTACAGAGACTTAAACAGCAGAAGTTGTTACAGTTCTCACAGTTCTGGAGGCTAGAATTCTAGGATCAAGATGTTGGCAGGTTAGTTTTTTCTGAAGCCTTTCTCCTTACCTCACAGATGGTTCTCACTACATGGGTCTTCCCAGGGTGTGGGTGCTCCACCCCTATCACTCTTCCTCTTCTTGTATGGACACCAACCCTGTTGAATGAGGGTCCCATCCTTATAACCTCACTCAACATTAATTCCCTCTTTTATTTATATTTTAAATAATTCCTTATTAATGTAATTTCACATTACAACATGATATAAGCTTCAAGTGTACATGATTACAAACCAATATCTGTATATAGCACCTTCCAATTGCTTTTTTTATATGTATAAAGTTTTTTTTTATTTTTTATTTATACAATAGCTGGGGTACAGGACAGAGGCGTGGGAGGGTGAGAGGATTCTCCAGAGACAGAGTGAGGAGAAGAACAGGCAGACAGACCAAAAGCACTGCTGAGGGGAGCAGCGGGCATGACACATGACAGGAGAGGTCTGCTGCACCACCGCCGGGAATCGAACCCGCTCTGCAGAGGCTGCAAACAGCTTCACAGTGCTGCGCTCAACCCACTGCACCACCGGGGAGGCCTTGCATTCCAATTGCTTTTATTTTTTTTTTTTATTTTTTTTTTTTATTTTTTTTTTTTATTTATACAAGCACTGGGTACAGTCAGAAGCGCGGGAGGGTGA